CATAAGTTTTTTGTTTAAAATGTCTCTTCCTTCCTTACTGAAACTGTAACAGAATTTTCGTATTGTCAATTCTCGGATACCCTGAGAAAATCTACCATGACTTGACTCATGTGATCGACCTTGATTTTTGGAGGAGGTTCTGGTGCTCCTTGAAAGGATAATACGATCTTGTTATGGAGATGTTTGGTAACTTTGTTACATAGTTTCCCCTTGTTTAAGTCATATGCAGTTGATTCATAGGGTGTTTGCTCCAATGGAACATGTTATGTTATATGCTCCAATTGTATGCGAATGTCAACCTTGTAAATGTTTTATTATGTCTTGAACATACAAGCCTACTGTTAAGCACTCATGGCTGCACCTTTCGTGGTGCAAGCAGAACTGTAATGGTACCATATGCATGCATGGACACTGACATCCCCAATGGATAAGCTAAAGTTGCATTTCATGCCTGTTACCATAAGTGGAATTTCTGATGTTGTAGCTTGAATAATGATGTCTTTGAAAATATGTAGCTGTGAACAAATTGTATGATATTGTTCCTGAATCTATTTGTTACAGAAAGAACCATTGCCTTGTCACACAATATGGGGTGGTTACAAACACAGTTTATTGACAGGAATAAAGTGAAAGGAGGAGAGAAAGAAGTGTTACATGCTCCTTTTTAGTTGGAATTGTTGGATCCTGTGGAATGAATCCAAGTCATAGTATGTAAGCAGTATATTGATCAGAGTGAGGCTAGTTCTGCCATTAAGTAGATTTTATGCTCAGACTGCAAAGTGATAACTGACAAATATCTCCAAACAACCACAAACTGACAACTTATGTTATACCTATATCGCATGGTTACAGTTATGCATTCGTAATTTTCAAGTATATTATATTGTATCAATTTACAATGGGTACTAGGACAAAGGCCTTTTAGCATTTTCTACAGGAAGACAAGTTAATAATCAATTAGTTGTTTAAGGAAGCTCTTTTAGGCTCTGTTTCTACTTTTGTAAAACAAAAATTGAGAAGTTTATTGGTGGTAGTTTAGTTTGGATGTTGTTGCTGGACTTTAAGTTGGGGCTTATGTATGTTGCCATATAGTTCAATCTATTAAATATTCCAGTTTTGTTTGTGCCATATGCTTAAAAGTTGTAAATATTAAGGTTGGCAGACTCATTTGAAAGAGTCATGTCTAGTCAGTGTGTTTTCTTTGCCATCATTGCATTTGCTTAATGTAAAACTCCTGAGACATCATTTTATATGGAAGCAGTGGGTGGCTTGAATTTGGAGGCTTGATGTGATATATTTATTTTCCATTTGATAAGTTCAATAATTTAGTAAACCATGAGGATAATTTCCAGGGTAAGTATGTCAAGAAACACTGAGAAATGAGGAGGAAGAAAAAGAAGAGCTTGGTGCTTCAGATCTTGCACATGTGAAACTTCTAATTGAAAAGTCGGAAAGTTTGTCATTGAGAGGGGGAAAGAAAACCAAGAGTGTAAGTTATGGATCTTAGTTCTGATTTGGGCATTCCCAATTAAACCCCCAAAAATTTATATGAACAGAATTCATTCTTCTCTGGAGCCAACATAGGAGAAGGTGTACCTCAGATCTTCAGCCCTTGTACACGTAGAACACCAAGTAAATATCTTTGCTCTTTCCAAATTTCTGTGAGTTAAGATGCAAGATAGAGCTGCTATTCAAATGAATAAAGAAACTTTCAGGGGAATCTTAACCTGTCAAAAACTAATGAAAACGTTTTTCTGTTCTTACCCTGTAAAATTCTTGTTGATGTTATTTTTGGAAAAGCATCACATGACTGTACTGATAATGAGACGTCCTGAATGTAGAATGTACTATCATCTATTTTGTTGACAGATCTATTTTCTGTCTAGCCTGTTTTATATATAATTATTTTTTGATTATGTTCCTAATCGTTGCATCAATGATTGTTTTCCAGGTATGATTATTCTGGCTATGGACAATCAACTGGAAAGGTTGGTCACTTGGCTACTCTTTTCTTAGTTGCTAATGATGGGTAGAAAAATTGCCGTTATTCATGTTACTATGGCAATGTAATTATCATTGTGGACCATTTGAATAATTGCACACTAGACTCTTGGCTGCAATCAAACAAGGAAATTAATCTTTCTTCTCTTTTAGGTCAACACTTTCCTTCTCTTTCTCTCTAATGAAAAAGAATGATCAGTAAATGTGCTGTAATTGAGTTCTCAGAATGCTCTGAGTGTAAGCCTGTAGGACAGCTTTTCATGATGATATCTCAATGCATTGGTTGACCCAAATTTTACTGCTTTGGAAAGCCAAATCAAATGTCTACAGGATTTTATTTTTGTCTTATAATTTCAATGTTTTTTATACTAATTTCTTGCAAATTGTATGGGACTCTCAATACTTTGCTGTTTTAATTGTGTTTCAACATCTATAGATTTTGTATGCAGCAATGTCATTTCTAATTCATGTTTTTAATGAATGGACATTTTACTGTTTGCTAAAAAACCTGTATTCTAATAGTCACTTTCTTTTATTTGGAACAGCCAACAGAATGTAATACATATGCAGACATAGATGCAGCATATAAATGCCTTAAAGAACAGTATGGAGTTAAAGATGAACAATTAATATTATATGGTCAGTCTGTTGGTAGTGGACCTACTGTTGATCTTGCTTCACGTTTGCCAAACTTGAGAGGTGTGGTTCTTCATAGCCCAATCTTGTCTGGGATGAGAGTATTATACCCTGTCAAAAGAACATACTGGTTTGACATTTACAAGGTAAGCTGGTGTTATTCACCTTTTCTATTTTCTTGTTTATTAATGTGGATAGTAGCCTAATTACTGGGTTTCTTTTTCCCTCTTCTAATTTTCAGAATATTGACAAAATTGGAGTGGTAAACTGTCAAGTTTTGGTAATTCATGTAAGTATTTTTCCCATTGTTTCAATATTTAGCCTTCACCTTATCTTTCGTCACCATTCTCTCTCTCTCTCTCTCTCAATTCTCCCTTGGTTTGACACATTAACAATACAATTGTATCTTCGTTCTGGTAAGTGTTTTGGCATCACCAGGCAACCATGTGGCATTCCAAACCGTGAACAAATATCTATCATGCAGAGCTTTTAACGTGAAGAATCTTTGAAAGAAAATCTTTAAACATTGTTTAGAAGAAAGCTAAACCCTCATGAAGTATTCTCCGGGGCCTGGGATTCTGTATAACAGGACTGGATCTAAATGAATATTTGAGCCTCCATATGCATTTTGGCAAATCTGTCTGGCTTTTAATAATTGTTCTGGTTACGATCAAAGAAGTAAATTGAGTTCTCATGTGAAATTAAACAAAGCTAACAGCACCATTGGGGACTAATGCATTTCAGTTCATTGTTTTTGCCAAATGCTGTTTATTGTGATCTTGATAAGTTAATTAATCTTTCTACTTTGTATTTTGCCATAAATTTTGTAGGTTTCAGAATTCAAGAGTTTATTAAGAAATAGGGAAGTAGATATATATATTTTTGGCTTGAGAGAAATAGATGTTCGTAGATTTTGAGTTTTGGGTTGGGGTTGAGAACAGAATAAGTGCAATTTATTTTTGTTTTTCTTTTTTTTCTGTTTTGTTTTGGGGTGAGTGGTGATTGTGGTAAACTTTGACAAGTGAGGGCATCTGCTGACACTTTGTGCCATCTAAATAGTGAGATTAAGGGGAGCTCTTGTATTTTTTTTCTTGTTTTTTTCTTTTATTTTTTTTGTAATTATTATATATTCTAAAATTTAGTCATGAAGCTCATTTTCTTCTTCTGACAGGGAACAGCAGATGAAGTTGTCGATTGTTCCCATGGTAAACAGCTTTGGGAGCTTTGCAAGCACAAGTATGATCCTTTATGGGTAAGTGGAGGAGGACATTGCAATCTTGAGCTCTATCCAGAATTCATTAGACATCTGAAGAAATTTGTACTGTCCCTAAACAAATCAAAAGCAGCCACAAATGGTCCTGAAAAGACAGTGGTAAACTCTGACAATCAGAGCAAGCCATCTGACATTGGAACCTCAGATACTTTCGAATTGGGTTCTGATCTTCCAGAAGTTTCTAGAAACAGTTTAGATAGTCGACTTGAGAAGTCTAAGAAGTCGAATAAGCCTGAGAAGTCTCGAATGAGCACTGACCGTGTTGATAGGTTTAGGAGAAAGAAGGGCTTAGTTTGGTGATTTCTTACACGAAGAGCATTTTAAATAAGTTATGCGCATCTATCCACTGGAGGAGGTAATTTACTTTTTACTTCTGCTTTGTTAATGTTGTATCACAGTCCAGCATAAGTTATGGGATTGAGTGTGATTTTTCTCATAAATGTGATAATTTTTCTGTATGTATCTTCAGAAAACAAATATTACATTAAATTCTTCTGTATACTATAGCCTCAATTCTAAATGAAAAATATTGTAGTAGCTTCTGCCATAATGTGCTTGGATATGTCTAATTGATTCTTAAAGTTTTTCTTGTTGCACATTGTAGCATGTTCGAGGTAGTTGGTGTTTATATCTGTGGATAAGTCGAGCAAAACATTTTGTTTAAACTTGACAGTAAGTGACTGACCTTTTTCTTATACTTAATGTTGTTAGGCTCCTTCTCTTGCTTCTCTTTTCTCCTCCAAAAGTCCGGGGGTCTAGGCCCATGTTTTAAACTGTCTGGATAACCTTGCCTCTATTATCTGATTCTCACGTCCACCAATCCATCGAACCATTCTTCTCCTCTCTATCTGTACTCTACAAACGTATCTACACATGCACATTTCATAAGTGATATAAATATACATAGAGCATAACCTTAGAAAGGTAACACAGCCTCCATTTTCTTGATTTTCAGTTCTTTTTCCAATTGCAACTGCAACAGTAGACATAACGAGAGGTCTGCCCTTTTCCAACATTTGACAACTGCTGGATGCAGAAACTACCATTTATGGGAAGTCGAGGCCCAGCCAACCAACCATAAGTCTTGGTGAACAATGGTTTCAACCAAGTCCTGCTCAGAAAAATTGCTCACTGTTGGTGAAGCTTGGGATAATAGTTTACATATGCTTCCTCTATTTTCCCGTCAAGTCCGAGGCGGGCTTTAGAATTTTAAGGATTCGGCTTATGTCCCTTGTGTCTTTCAGATTAATCACATTCTTCAATTAGAAGTATTTTAGGCTTTGATGATGGTTCTTCCTAAAACAATTTCGACCTTTAGGCTTCAACTTCTATGGATTGCTCTCTATAGATGAAATAATCCAATATGCTCCTGGAGTCCCTCACTGGGAAAATGCTTGACATCACTTAAATCCCCGATAAAGTCAATGCCGTGGATGTTACGGATAAGGTATAAGGACCAAAATCCGAGAAGATTGGTCTATTTTGTTTACCTTGAAATTTTATGTTCAAACTAACTAACTCGTGGTTTCGATATTGATATATTCAATTATTAAATCAGTTGATGTTTTCAAGTTGCTTGTTTCTTTGACTTTTCAGAAACTCTCTCAGTTTATACCTTTTGAGTCTTTTGAGTTTTAAGAGCTAGAATATAAAGACTATCCACAATACTATATATATATATATAATATTATATTTGCAATATAGTATTGCTAGGCTACCTAAATATCCATAGACAGGGAATTAACACTGCAGTAGAAGCTTCTTTTTTAAATTTTCACCTTCAACTTCGTCGAAGACCACCAATTTTATTATGGAGATTAAAACCAATTCATCTCCGGCTTCTCATTTTATATCCGAGTACTTCCAAATCCCTCCCTAGTCTTCTCCAGCCTCTCCCTCTCTCTGAAAATGCATCCCCCTTCGTTGCAATTCATGTTTTGGTTCTTCATTATCATAAGCTTGATCCTGTTAATTGCTCCAAAATCTGCGTTCGCCAACGATGGAGATTATTCAAGCAGCAGCACGCGGTTCAGATGCGGAAACATTGATATTGGTTATCCTTTCTGGGGATTGGAGCGACCAGAAGATCGTGGTTACCCAGGTTTAGGGCTGAACTGCAGCGGTAATGTTCCAGAGATCACAATCATGTCAGTAACGTACTAAGTCTTGAATATCGAAAACAGAACAAGAAATCTTGGGCTTGCTAGAACTTACCAAGTCTCCGGAACACCACTTTGACTACCGGCGTTTTCGAGTACCAATTCCCATACGCAGAATGTGAAGCTTTATTATGGTTGTCCCCCTCTTATAAATCTTTCATCTTAGACAACGGGGCTCTCCAGTCAACTTGAGTGCCAAATAAATGGAAATGGAAGCTTAGGATATTATTTAAGAGGGAATCTTACAGGGACGTCCTTTGGCAGCCTTGTCACTGTAATAAGCTCTACTTTGGGATCTTGCAACAACAGCGTCATCGTTCCAGTCCTGAAATCACAAGTTCAGGCAGTGGAGGACAATCCAAATACAGAGAATCTGACAGAGGCGGTTAAAGTTGGCTTTGAGCTGCAGTGGTTTGCGAATGATTCCTTTTGTGACTCATGTCTAGGCTCCGGTGGGCAGTGTGGGTGCAACCACGAATCGAGGGAATTCCTTTGCTACCGCTCAGCTGGATCGTTCCTTTGTTACTGCTCAGATGGATCGTATCTGGGCACTTGTCCTCAAGGTACGTCTCCTTTCTCCTTATGCCTGTTAAAACCATTTAAGAACTAGGGTGTCAGTTCCCTGTGTCATTCACCAGCATTTATTCTCATTTATTTCTGCCTTAAATTTGTCCATTGGGCAGGGACCATCAATCCGGGCATCGAAGAACACATCGACTACGATATGATTCTTTGATTCAACCAAACATTTGTTGGTAATTATATTTAAAAAAAGAGAAACGTTTGTCGATTACTCATATAAAAATAAATATCAATCAATTTGTTCAAGATATTACTCATTTTAAAAATTAATCATCTTCGCTTCTAACCTTATATATATAATTAATTAATGTTTATATAAAATTCTTTAGAAAGTGACAACCTGTTTGACAACCATTTAGGAAGGCATCGTGAATTTTTATTAAAATAAATTAAAAAATATAATTATTTATTATAATTATTCAGCGCAGTTGCAATAAAAATTTTCAGTACTTAATATATTGCTTTATTCTCAATCTAATCAAAGGTACAGAAAAAAACATACAAAGTACCCTTTTTTTTTTATAAAAGTGCAGTTTGACTGTTATCTGATCGTTAGTACGAACAAGACTTGCAAAATAAGTAATATAGTGAACAACTTACATACAAACAATAATATTTTTGTTTCCTTTCTCAAAAATTTATCTTTAATGAATCTTATATTATTAATTTTTAAATTTCTATATTATTGATGTTCAATACTTTTCATGTTAAAAATAAAAAATTAATGAAAAATAAATTTATAATCTGGAAAAGTAGAAGTATTAAGTATTTAATAATTAACACACTTTTGAATTAACATTCATTAGCACCTCATAAAACAATTCTCCCTATTAAAATCTTATTGTGAGCTAAAATTAAAGTTTTGACCTATCAAATGTTATCTTCCTTAGGAAGATTAAGATCCGAGGTTCAAACTCTTCCCTTGAACTTCATCCTCAAAATTTATAAATAAAAAAAAATGTGATCATATTTCCGTTTGTTTTTTATTTGGAATAATCATCTCTTTTTCTTGCTTTCAGAGTAAAATATTGTCTTTTCTTACGTTTGGTATATACATGGATGAGTAAAGCTTTTTAAAGCCGTTTTGATGTTTAATTTAATTTAGAGCCCCGTAAATCAGTAAACTCCACGATTAGGCTCAAAACTAGCTTGGCATCTAAACTTCTCCACATCTTCAAGGCGTTTGGGCCATGCGCAGCAGTACCTTATCTACTCTCTTATTTGGTCATGTTCAAATGTTTTGAACATGAATATTCTGAAGTCAAGTCATGAGTTCCAAACTTTTACGGTAGATAGTAAAATATCTGGCCCTCTGTTGCAGTTGTGGAAGTTACAATTTCTTTGTCTTTAGTTTTCTACAATTGGAAACTGATTTATCAAATATCTAAAACTAAAAGATGGTGTT